AAAAAATAGCAACAAAATAAATAAATAAGGAATAATAGCAAAATCATGAAAATTAACTCACCAAATCGATTGTTGTTTTTGCATATTGGAGATAACTGCGCTTTGCTCTAGCTTCTTCAGAACACTACCGTCGTTGTGAACGCTTCTGGTCAAACTAGCAAATTTTTTGTTTATATATGGAAATAACCTGGCTAATATGCGCTTTTGACAATAATGCCTTGCAGCCGGTTTTCTGACGCTAAATAAACGAACACCGTTAAGTCGCTCATTCACAAAGCGTTGATTCACGCATTGAGACGCTTTATCTAACACTAAGCGTTATGCAAACATTGACAAGCAACAGCGAGCAATAACACACTAGATATTTGTTTTGGTTTTTATTGATTTTTTATTGTTATTGTTAGTTATTGCCTTCRCTTTGAAGTTCACTATTCAAGCTTATCACCACAGAGTGAGCGTTATGTTTGGTTGTTGTTGCATAATAGTTTATCCAAAGGGCGTGATGAGAAATAGTTTTGGTAAATAAAAATATTTTTATGGATCAAAAGTTAAAAACGGATTTCATGAAAAAAATGTGAAGTAACTAGTATATAGACCGGTACATAACTGGTACATAATTGCAGAAGTTATTTAAAAGTATCAAACACTTAAAATAGTATAATATTTATGAATTGAGCTTTAAATAAAAAAATAGTTCCTTTAAAATTTTTATTAACTGAAAGTCGGACGTATATTTCAAAAGTAGCTAGCTATAAATTTCCAGCATATGAAATAATAATAACAAACCTAAAACGACTTTTAAAGCTCTTTGTGGCGAGAAGCATTCATAAAAACTGCAATAGTTGACACCTTGGCGCAGTCCACAATTAACTATGAAAAATATTTCTTTTTATGGATACCTTAGTGCCTAAGGAATAAAAGCAAGACTACCTTTTAAGTGATTTAAGAGACATATTGATGACTAATTGCTGAAAGTTTCACAAATWCCTTATACCTGGCTAAATTGCGCTTCTGTAAAGTAACCTGTAACCTTACCAGAAACTGTAACCCTGATTGATATATGAAAAAATTAATGAATAATTCTCTTTTATTAATAATTTTATCGTAGAAAATGTCAAAAACAAATCTCGCTTTTAATGATTTTTTAATAAGACTTTCAAAAAACAAAAATAATTTTCTGAACTTCTTAAGAGTTATGTGAGTAGACTTTCAGGAATATTATTCAAATCAGATTTCAGGCTAAGTTCGGGTATAACCAAGTATTTTCAAACTCTTGCAACTTCCACGGACTAAGGTCGGGGTAATGCTTTTAGGTACATAATGTTGGTTATTTATTTGGGGTTTAGGTCACGTTTTTACCCGATTTGATTCATTCTAAGCACAAAAATCTCCTGCTTTCACGCTTTCTCTATTTTAATAAAATAACTCTTCTGTTGGCCGATATATGCAGTGTAAATTCACCCGGATGTTCGAAAATCATTATGCTAGGTATATGGGGCTTAAAGAAGTACCGACCGGATTTAGCCAATTTTTGCACTCTGACATGCTGTTGTCAGGACAGTGTAACAAGTACTGATTTTCATTAAGATATCTTAATTTTTACTCTAGTTTAACTACCTCCATTATTTTTAGCTGCTACAAACAACCGTTATGTGAACAGGAGTATAAAAAATTAGTTAATTATATTCCATTTGACTTTCAGTTGCGCAAATACTCAGTTTATGACTAAGATGAAATAAARGGGCTTCCAAATGGAAGATACGTCTAAAACACCATTTATTCCTTTAATTTACATCACGTGGCAGATAGTGAAATGCATATATCTCAGCTTTGAAGTATTAATAGAAAAATTATAATAGAAGCCATGACAGTATAAGTCCAATGGAAATATGAAAATGAGGGAAAGATCTGGATCGATTCCGATAATTCGTGGCTTTCAATTTTATAACATATAAGTGTAATTTTTTTAAGATACCTCACCTTAGAACCTCACATTATCTACGATTACGCATAAGGCTCTAAAAGAAGACCTTTTAGCCTTCCTTATTTGAGTTTTATATAACGCAAGTCCCGCTTTACACAATATAGTAGTAAATTCTCTTCAAACTACCTAGTCTCGGATTTTAGTGAAGTTTTAACGACCAATAAATTTCAGCTGTACTACCATAGATTCTGTGGACTTTACCAGCTGACTATAAAAAATTTTATAATAAAAAGTTAAACGTGGATGTAAAGAGGAATAATGCATAATTAGCCTCAGCCCTCACTATTCTGCTACTTTTTGCCACTATTGCAAAGCACATGCGCTTTGGTAGTATCTGACACATTGAGGCTTCTCTACATTTTCAACTATTCCCGAAAGCATATTTAGATTGTKTGTTGCCACCTGTTTAAAAATATAATACAAATAAGTGATAAGGTAATCAAATTACGATGTCGGTATTCAATTCATCGCGTTTAGGAAAGATTTCTGCCAGAGATATTTTCGAATTACGCCTTATTTTTTAAGCTATCTTTAGATAAATAACAAAAATTGAGAAGCATTTTGATGCAGGTATTTGTAGTGTTTTATTTGTTTTATGTACAATATTTACATCGTTTCGGATAGTTTACAGACTTCGTGGTTCCATAGTTTGTTGTGGTTTCCTTTTCATGCGTCTGAGCAACCTGATTGATTGGTCACAGTCAAAGGGTCCGTAGATATACCTTGGGAAACAAGCACAGCCAAAGCTTCCTTTACAATATCGTCAGAGGGAACGCGCTCACGCGTGAGGATCCACACATTCTCTGAAATAATGCCGAAATGAAGATATTTTAAAAAGTATTTTAGTTTAGATTTTCTCTAATACTCCAATTAAAGCTTAAAATGTGGCCTCATGGTTGTGAAAATCAAGCAAGAGTTTAGATTTTTGTAAGGAAGTATAAACAAAAAAAATCATATCTTACTAATAAATTGCATAGAATACTTAAATTCTATCTTTGTGTGGCGATTTGATATATTTCGTTCTCTAATAAAAGACCTTACTGTKTAATCATCTTCACTTACCCGTATGTGCGATTATTAGACTTTTGCAGCTGTAGACGACGGCATAATTAACGTAATCGGTACTCACGACCCAGTAGCCAGCGGACCCAGCAAGAGCTG